TTCCTTACCTCCTTCCCTTTCCCTTTTTTCCTTTTCCTTTTTTCTTTTCCCTTTTTTGCGCTCTGATTCACAATGTGACAATATATATATACAGGGTTACCGGCGTTCGGGATGGGCCGAACGCCCGAACCCGAACGCTCGAACGTACGGGACCCCTTTGGCAGGCGTTCGGCCGTTCGGGCCGAACGCGGACCAACCGACATGCAAATTCCCGCACGGCATCAGTAGGCGCTGCGGTCTCCTCAGCCCCCGGGCAGTTCAACTGCGCGAGAAACTGTGTCAGCACGAAATCATTTTTACTAGTAATAGTGACCAAAAGTAGTGGCAACGTAATGACATAACAAAACATACGACAACATAACGAAATCGATACCATAAGGTACATAACGTAAGATACGATAATAATAATGCTAATGAGCTATCAAAGGACGCTGGTGGGCATTAACAGTGATACCGATCTACCCCCCTCGATGAGTAGCTTGATGATTGAAGGGCGGGACGACGATAGAGAGTTATGTTGCCAGTGCTTCTGACCCTCAAGCTTCCGAGAAGACTGTGAGAATCTGGACGTTGAATTTCTACTCTTCCTTAGGGAAAGGGAGAAGCTTAGGAATTAAAAAAAAAAAAAAAAAAAAAAAAGAGGGAGAAACTTAGGGAGACATTCCACCCTCCACTCCACGGATATCCGAGGCTCCAAACGATACGGGGCCAGGTGTGCCCGGTATAGGCTGTTGAAAAGTAGCTTACGGATCGGATTAAGAGGCCGGCTAAAGGAAGATTTCTCAATCCGTCTAACGGCAAATAGCCCAGATTAATAGGCGGAACAGAGTATGCAAATTAGCCCACAGGAATTTACCGGTTGCCGACCAAAAGTTGGCAAAAACACCCAATTCGGAAAAAAAAAATGGCGAACTCCGAAAGGTACTCTGAATAGGGTTTTATAGTGCTCTTGAGTGTTTTTTTTTTCGTTTTTCTTGGCTTTTTTTTTTTTATGCTTGTATTATGAGCCTGCATAGTTAATTCGCAAAATTTTCGACGGCATTGCTTGTAGTGATGCATCGAAAAACCCCGAATTTTGGGTCCTCAATTAACCATCTCTCGAAGGACGAAGAAGAGAAGGAGAAGAAGAAGAAGAAGAAGATCATCAAATAAGAAACTATTGATAATAAGATAAAGAGGGGAAGGACGAAGAAGAGGAGGAGGAGGAGGAGAAGAAGAAGAAGAAGAAGATCATCAAATAAGAAACTATTGGTAATAAGATAAAGAGGGGGGGGGGGGGGGGGGGGTTCTATCTTTTTTTTTAAAGAGAAGCGATTTTATCTTAGTACATAATAATGGTATCTTATATCTTATTACCCGCGGTGATGAAGAAGAACGCGGTGATGAAGAAGAAAGGCAATCAAGACTGCCAGCTGAGAGTCACAGTAAGGGGAAGACAGAGCAACAGGAGGTCCGGGACCTACGAAGAGATCGTGAATAGACTACCCTCTTCAGCCGAATAGAACGTCCGGCCATAATCACTGTATTTGGACTGAAAGTCGCCCCAAATACAGCTATAAAGACCGGGCGCTCTGTTCGGGTAAAGATGGTAGAAATGACAAAAAAGAAAGGGAGGCAGGAGCAGAGTGAGGAAGAAACTGTGGCAAATTGGCAATTGCGCAAGCGAAGTGGATCTGTCAGAAAAGTAACAAACAAATGGGAAATAAAATTAAGTATAATACACTTAAGAGGGGGGGGGGGGGGGGACGAAAAACAACAACACTGAGAGAGCTGGAGTGAGGACACATACCCACGCCGCACGACAGGGTGAAACTACCGGCGAGCGAGCGATCGACCAAAGACGGCCTCAATTTTATTTTTCATATTTTCTTGGAAAAAGGTATTTCCATCAGATTGACAAAAAATCGTGAATCTGAAAGACGGCCACAAATATCGACCAGTCTATATAGATTTTGACTCTTATTATAGAGTACAATATAAAACATTGATTTATATGAATATTTATTTTCTGTTTATTCGTCATAGGCGTAGAATATGCATATTTGTTTTCTGTTTATTCGTCATTGGTATAGAAGATCACCTCCGAAAGCCACGATTAAACAGTGTACAACCCCTCTTCCTTCCCTTCCCATAGAACCCCATCTTAGTTTTTTTTTTCATCAAATCGCAAGTGCGGATAACGGGAATCGAACCCATATCCCCTGCTTGGAAGGCTGGTAGTTAAACCCACCACGACTTCCCGAGAAATAGGACGAAACCTTAAGCGTTCGGACGAAAACCCTGTGTTAGTCGGATCATCAATCGCACTAATCAACAGTTCTCCCATTCATTTACAGGCCTCGCTAGAGAGGCTTGTTTTCGCGAAACTGTTTGTGACGAATTTCGCTTTAAGAGAGCGGGCGTCGTGGTAACCAGGGCGTTTGCAAAAGGGGCAGGTGGCGGTTTAAGGGAGACAAGAACGTCAATATCGTGGTATGATGCACAAACGCACCCCTTGCGCTCCTCCCCGCGCGGCACTCCCCTTTACTCTCCCCCCCCCCTCCCGCACTACCTCCCCTCCCTCGCGTCCTCCTTTCCTTCTCYCCCCAGCTTGCYCCCCCCCCCCCCTCTCGTAAGCGGGGGACGGTTGCAAAAGGCGGCGGTGGCTTAAGGGAAACAAGATCGTCGATATCGAGGTATCATCCACAAGAAACGGGCCCCTTGCGCTCTCCCCTGAGTCGCTCCTCCGCGCTTCCTCCTCCCATTCACTCTCCCCCTGCCCTCCCGCACTTCCTCACCTGTCTCTTATACACATCTAGATGTGTATAAGAGACAGCCCCACCTCGCTCCCCCCCCCCCTCTCGTAAGCGGGGGACGGTTGCAAAAGGCGGCGGTGGCTTAAGGGAAACAAGATCGTCGATATCGAGGTATCATCCACAAGAAACGGGCCCCTTGCGCTCTCCCCTGAGTCGCTCCCTTATACACATCTAGATGTGTATAAGAGACAGCTCTCACCCACTCTCGCCCACAGAGACGCGCCTCCTTTATGTTGGTCGCAATTTCCAATTGCACATAAACAATTACCCGTTTCCTCCTCTCCCCGAATCCATCCACCCTCCTCCCCATGGACAAACACGAACCCAAAGGAAAGACCAACCCATTGTTCCCACTCAACCCGCCTGCAAACAAACCCTTTCCCCTCTCCTCCCATTCCCCTCCGTCCCCTTCACAGCCCCCATTCACATACAGACCCATCCCCGCCGCCCTTCTGGTCACCTCTCGCTCGCCTTCCACATGCAAACCTAACTCATCTTTCCTTCCTTCCTCTCATCCCCCCCCCCCCTCCCCCCCCTCCCAACCCCCGCCAGCCCAAACCCCCCAACCCGCCTTACATAAGTTGAATTTGCTAACAACTCTACTCGCATACATACATACATCAAGCCTCCCCATACAGCAATATCCACACACACACACACACACACACACACACACACACACACACACACACACACACACACACGCAGACACACACACACGCAGACAGAGACAAGCAAACTTCTTCACTCTCGCATTGAGAGACACCCATCCAACCCTTCCCTCTTATCACACAGACACCCCCAAACCCCCAAAACCCGCCTTAACGTAAATTAGACTTCCGAACAACCTCTACTCGCATACATACACACCCAACCTCCCCATACAATCGTCACACAACCCCCCCCCTCGTACGTACCTTCAGGCATGGCGTCGAGAATATCGTGCATTACTGCCGCGCGAAGCTCAAGATCGTAGTGGCTCTCCACCCTCTGCTTGGTCACAGTCTTTGCGATTCCCTTCGACGCACGCCCCTCGAATTGCCTGGCCAGCAAATTGCCAAGCCAGCGCTCCAGCAACGGGACGATTCCACGCAAGAAGAACAACCACACCCTCCACATCGGCGCCCAAAAGCCGCATCCAGGACCCTTACCCACCGGCCCCGTGTTAAATCTGTAATAGATGAGATGTTTCAGATCCTTGCACATTCGAATCTGTCTCATCAACCTATACTTGTACCTGTACATTCCGGTGAGCTGCCCTACGTGCGAGAAGATGTACTGCAATCCATCAGCCAGCTGGAAAGCATCGACATTGCCCAGTCGGAACTGAACGTTGGAATCAACGACCAGTTTCGTCAGCCTCAAGATCTCTCGACATAGATGGAAAGCATTTCCAAATCGAGACTTCTTTCTCTCCTTGGTCGTCAGAGTCTTCACCGGTTTCAGGTTGAAGTTGTAATCCAGATGCAGGTAATTGAGATTCTTTCGATGGATGAGCAGATTCAACATGTTGTACCCTTGGCGGCAGACTTGCAGGCCCACCTCCACCCAATCAAGCTCCGTAGACTGGAAGAACTTGGTCGATTTCAGGGAGCGAAACAAATACCTCTTCTTCTGCGACTTGGGTCGCCGATGATGGAGCTCGTTCAGCACGTAGCACTTGAGAAGCTTCTGATAACTCACCCGAACTTTCACCGGATAGTTCGGCGGACAATGCTCTCTGAACCAATTAGCAACCAGCGGGACATCCTCGGCTCGTCGGGTCCGTCCCGATCGCATGTTGAAGGGGCGGGGAGCCCAGAGCAAGGAGATCCCGGCCGCGGTGGTGTCGGTGCAGATCGGACTGTCCTTGAGCAGCGGCTCCACGCCTTCTGGCAACTCGAAGGCATCATCGTCATCCTCCTCCTCCTCCTCCTCCTCCTCCTCCATGAACTTTCTCTCCCTCTTGTCCGTCTTGTAAAACGCAATCGGATGGATCAAGGGGTCGAAGTAGAAGGCAGGAAGGTCGGGATCTTCCGTCTTTATGTACATCACCATGGGCGTGTGATAGGTCGACAGCGCCACCTTCCTCGGCCGGCTATTGTACAGATAAGGAAAGGCAATCCTATACTCCGTGCGGATGGGCGATCTAATGATGAGTTTGTTGATGTCGTTAAACTCGTTCCAGTCTTCTTCTCCCGCTCCCGTGTCACGGAACAAGGGCTCAAACTTGGGACCTCCAGGAATACACATGTTCAAGGCCTTGGACGTGAAGAACGACTTCAGATCGAACAGATAGAAGTAGTTCTCATCCGTTAGATCGCTCAACAACTGCCCCGCCAATCTGTAAAGAGTGGCCATGATTGGGAGAGAGAGTTGCCACTTGCGATAGCTTGGCCCGTTAACCAAAGGACCATTGACGAGAGGTTTATGATCGTAGAACCAATCATAGACGGCGGAGTCTTCATCTTCATCAAGCTCCAATTGAATCGGTTCCAGGGGTTCCACATCAAGCAAGTTGTCAGCGTAATCTAACGGCGGTTCTTCGTCGTCGAAAGGCGGGAACCGCATCCGCTTAAAATGCCTTCTATCTCTCTTCTCCCTCCTCATCATAATCCACATCGTCCCCCATTGAGCCAAATAAACGGGCTCGATGACGAGAGGAATCTCATCAACGAACGTGATCGCTCCTGTCACGTGATAAAGAACTTTGACGTGACGCACCTGTTCCCAAGGCATGGGCATGTTCTCCAACAGCTTGAAAACAGCATGGGGAACAAACTTCAGTGCACCGAGATAGACGCGCTTGTCGCGGCGGAACTTACGAGATGACATGTCACCATGGTCCTTGATGATCTTGCGCACGTGCTCAGGGGGCATGTCCTCCTTCTGCACCTCCACATAGCCAAACTTCCGCTTTTCGCCATATCTCTTGGCGTTGATTTGCTGCCATTTACGAGCCTTGTCTTCCAATTTCGCGTCAATCTCCTCCTGACTCGGCTGTCCCGGCAACCTGATCTGGGGAAACACCCCAGGTACAGGCGGAGGAACCATCTTCACCTACCGCTTCTTCTTCCTCCTCTCCTCCCTCCTCCTCCTACCCCCGTTCTCCCTCCTCCTCCTACACCCCTTTTTCCTTCAACCCCTTCTTCCTCCTCCTCGCCGCGTTCTCCTACTTTCTGTCTATCTATAATTCCTCCTCCCTTCTCCTTATCGTTCTTTCCCTCTCACTCAAAAGACACCCCCACCCTGCGCACAACACTTCCGAACCCCCACCCTGCGCACAACACTTCCGAACCCCCACCCTGCGCACAACACTTCCGCTCTCTCTCTCTCTCTCTCTCTCTCTCTCTCTCTCTCTCTCTCTCTCTCTCTCTCTCTCTCTCTCTCTCTCTCTCTCGTCTTTTATTCACATCATCTCCGCGAGCCTCCAGCCCCCACCCTCTCACCACCCTCGCACGGTGCTCACGGCGGCAACGAACCAGATTGATTGCGACATGTCACAGCCGTTTCTTCCTGCGCTCGCCCGCGCGGAAATCGTGAGTACCAACTTCTCTTCTTTACACGTGGCGTGACCGGAGCAAACCTAGCCATCTCCTTCCAGAGTGAAGCAGCATCCGTCCCACACACCCGCTCTGCCGCACGGCCCTCTTCCCATCATTGACCGCACGGACGGCTGCGTGATGACAACACGACGGCGGGGGCTAATCTTTCGCCTTTTTGAGGGTCGTACCGCAGGTAAAAGTCGGCCAGCCGCTTCCGTAGTGATTCCCCCGTTGTCCGACGCGCCCAAATTTGCCACGTCGCCGGTTTCGATGGGCGCGAAGAACCGGCGGGGTGAACAGCACCAGCCGAGCCTCCCGCCGTTGGCAAATTCCGCTAATGACACTATATGTTGGCGGGAATTGTGCGCTAACAAGATCGGTGGCGGGACGGTAGACACTTCGGTCTCCCCAAGTAAATTTGGTTGACGAGCGCACGCGGGGTGACGGCCAGGCGAATGCGTCCGCGAGAAAAGAAGTGGAAACTGCAAACTGGACCGCCCGCACGGGCAGCTCCAAACCCTAACCTGCGCCGCCGGCACCGCTTTTATAGCTCCTTTTCACACTGGCGAAGTTGCAGACACATATTAGGGCTGGGCAACCTATAGCCCTGGTGCCGCTGTTCGGTCCAAGTTACCTGCCCATCGGTAGGGTAATGGTCCTGAGTGCTGGTCACACTGAGGTAGGATAGTGGGATAGGGGGTGCGCTAGGAGTATTGACGTGAGGAGGTCTCATATTCCAGGACACCCACGGCCTACTGCTCCAGGTGATCACTGTGTACTCAGTGACTGGCCTCTACAACAGCATGGACTTGAAAAAAAAAAAAAAAAGGTTGGGGGACCAAGAAGAACCTCCCTAGTATTGAAAAGTCGTCATGAACACCAAGAGGATTGAATATTCACAGCTATTCGGCCCAGGGGGCACGACGATATCCATCGTATCCATGCTAATCCTCTGAAACGGCCGTTGGACTTCAGTGGGCACTGTAGATCTAGGCGGTTGAATCGGCGCCTTGTCAGTGGCGCAGACCTGACAATTTCGGACGATGAATTAAGCATCGTCGCGAATATTGGACCAATACCATTCGCTTCTGTCAATTTGCCGCCTCTGTAATCCAAAGTGAGCTGCAGTCTCTTTGTGTGCCGACTTAACCCAATCATGCCTCACGAATAGGTGGGGCACGGCCATCCAAATCCCACTACCGTCAGTCTTTCGTTTTTCCAACCGTCCGTTGTTCCGTCGGTAATCCCGTGCCCTCTCATTAGGCCTTCTACGGTCCTCTTTGGTGAAGTCCCGGAGGGGGTTCCCGACCACGGTGGCTATTAAGACAACATCTGTCCATACTTCGACCCTCCTAAACCTACGGGTCTTTTCGAAACCCTCCGATGTGGCTTCCATGAAGCGAGCTTCAGTAGGAATTTTGTCGGATCGACACAAGGGACACAACCAGGCCTTGTCCGTGTTCCGATATTGAATGTAGGAACCATGGGCCCTGGAGACACAGTGTCGACAATCTACCCATTCGACGTACCCTTCCCCGCTAGGACGCATAGGGACTGAGTAGACACGCGAGATTGCCTCGCAAAAGTAACAAAACTTGTCAAGCAAAGGAAGGAGAGGCGAGGACGAGAGGGGAGAAAGGGGGCCTCCAAAATTACCTCCATCGCCCATTGCCACGTATCACTTCTTAGCTCGTGGAAGGATGGCCACCTGTCCGTACTGCGGCCCACTGACTGGTTCCGGTTCTCTCCACGAGACAATTTTTTGCCCCTTGGTGACCTTGGTCGGTCGATGCAGTCGTGTTAGTCCGTCCGCGTTCCCGTGCCTTTCCGCCTTCCGATGGAAGATGTCGAAATCATACTCCTGCAACCGCACTGCCCAACGTCCAATCATGCCCGTGTAATTAGTGAGCCTCTTGAGAGCCAATAGGGGCTCGTGGTCCGTGACGAGGAGGAATTTTTGTCTGTACAGATACGGATGGAAGTGTTGAATCCCCCATACCACCGTGTAGCATTCTCGTTGAGGTGCCGAGTCGTTTCTCCTTTCGTCTGGTGCTGTCCTAGATGTGTACTCGATGACGTGCTCGCGACCGTCCTTCCCCCTTTGCACCAAAATAGCGGAGATCACCTCCGGTTGCCAATCCGTGATGAGTACAAATTGTTTCTCGGGGTCGGGCCAGATCAAAATAGGGTCATGGTCAAGGCTTCCTTCAATGTGGCAAAGGCCTGCTCGCACTCAGCGTCTCATCTCAACGGTTGGTCCTTTCGTAAGAGGTTCATCAAGGGTCGTGCGATTGTTGCGAAACCCTTGATAAATCATCGGTAGTACGAGGCCAGCCCCAAGAAGGGTCGAACTTGCGTCAGCGACGTGGGTGTCGAAGCGTCTCGAACTGCCGCGACCTTTCTCGAATCCGGCCGCAAGCCCCCTCGCGTCACCACGTACCCCAGGAATGAGATTTCTAACAGGAAAAACTCGCTGTTCTCCAGAGCAATCTTGAAGCCCGCATCTCGCAGCGCTCCAAGTGTCCATTCGATGTGCTATGCATGTCAATGAAACGATTTCGAATACACCAGGATGTCGTCCATGTACACGATAACGCAAAAGTTCACCATTCCCTGCGTTAGCCGAGTCTTGTTAACGAAATTCTGAAAGGTCATGTTCCTCGTCCTTTGAAACGTGGTCGGAGCGTTGGAAATGCCCATAGGGCATCGAACCAATTGCCACATGCCTTCGAACAGTACGAACGCCGTTTTCATACGATCCTCGTCCTTCACCAATATATGGTGGAACCCATGGCAGATATCGAACTTACTAAAGTAGTTAGCACACCCAATCGCATCCAACAAATCATCAATCTGTGGGAGGGGATATACATCTTTGATCGTGATATCATTCAATTTTTTATAATCGATGCAAATGCGAATGGATCCGGTATTTTTAGGGACTAAAACCACCGAGAAGGACCACGGTCCAGTAGCGGGCTCGATCCAACCGTTGGCCTCGAATTCTCTGATTTGTTCTATGGCGGTTCGTCTTTCAACTAACGAGTACCGGAATGACTTACAATGAATCGGCGGGTGGGTGCCTGTCTGGATCTCATGTTGTATGGCCAGGGATAATCCTATGTCTGTGTCCTCTGTACTAATTGCCCTTTGATATTCGGTTAGAATGTCTGCGATGAGTCTGTCTATCTCGTCCGGTACATATTCCGGCACATGCAGTTCGTAGTGGCAGTCTCGTATTGCCACCGGTAGCTGTTTTGTCCTGGCCACGTGGGTTTTTTTCGTGGGTGGAGACGATGTAAAGGAATGGTCGGAACGCCAGGAGAAGATCGTGGCAACCATTTGAGTTTCCTCTTCCCTGATTGTCACGTAATCCTCCAAGGTGATGCTGTCTTCGATATCCCGGAGGTCCACGATCTTCTTCTCAATTCTTAGTCCAATATCGAACGGGGCAAGGTCGTACAGCCCAGGGGGTTCCGAAGTTCAGTTTTCGGCGCCCCTCTGTAGCAATCGGATCTCTTTTCCTTTGGTGAGCAACGAACCGGGAGGGATTTTTGAGATATCACAGAAGGACCGCTTGTCATGATATCTGGGTAACAATGGGGTGGTTGCCTCGTACATGGTTTGAGGGGGTTCCCAATAATCCGTCAACCGGGATATCTAAATGAGCGGTTCTCCCATGATCAGTGCCCTAGTTTGTTGCGCGTCCCTTGTGAAAACAAGAGTTTCCGTGGCTTTTCTGTCGAAGTGGGTAGCAAATTCTTTGTCGTGTTAGCTCGAGAATTTGAGGATCTGCATCGTCATCACTCTCGGAGGTGGACGACGGTAGTGTGGGTTCGATGTCGGATTCGTCCGTGGATTCTTCCCACCTTATCATTCGTAAGATTTTGCAGGGTCCCGGTCGTTGTCGCTAAGACGTTGAAGTTGTCCAGAGGGTGAGGCGCATTGGAACGGTGTATGGCTTTCCTCCGGTGTTATTGAGGATGGCTGCCTGCCGTTCGAAATCCATCGTGGCTCGTAAGGCTATGAGGGCAGGTAATCCGACGAGGACATCGTATGTGGTCACGTTTAGGACCACTACGTCGCCTAAGGCGTGGACTTTACCTATTCGAAAAGCGATGTTGGACATCCTTCCTGCAAATCAGATCTTACCTTCGTGGGCAGAAACGAAGTGATCGCCCTCCGCGAGAGGAATCACGTCTTTCCGTTGGTCGGCCCGCTCGACCACCCATAGTGAGATGGCCAGGATCGCGGCCCCGGAATCAAGGACCGCGTTGTAGGGGTTTACCAGACTTCCACGTCGCACTCCGTGGATCTCCACAACAGGGCTTTGATCCATAGGAAGTGATCGTCTTTCCGAATTAGGCCCATCCGGACGGGTTCGGAGGTGCTTAGCTCCTCTGACTTGGAGTCTTTAGCGAGAGTCTTTCCTTTTGCGGTTGCCAATTTGGCAAGGGTAAATCGCTTCCAGTTCGCTTTGCAGTGCTGTAGCATCCGGTCGTTAGCCTGTTCGGAGATGGTTAGCAGGTGTCGATGGGCAAGGGGATGTGGTGATCCAAGGCACGGACTATATTTAACACATCGATCTCTCTTGTAACGAACGAGGGTCCTTCGAATTCCATTTCCCTTGGGGAGGGCCTCCATTTTGAAACTTCATTGTCGTCAGGGGCAGGTTGGATG